TAGGAGGATCCCCGGAGCCCAGGAGGTCGAGGCTGCAGTGAGCTGTAATTGTGCCACTGCACTCTAGCTTAGGTGACAGAGTGAGACTCTGACTCAAAAGAAAGAAGAAGGCCGGGCGCGGTGGCTCAAGCCTGTAATCCCAGCACTTTGGGAGGCCGAGACGGGCGGATCACAAGGTCAGGAGATCGAGACCATCCTGGCTAACACGGTGAAACCCCGTCTCTACTAAAAAATACAAAAAATTAGCCGGGCGAGGTGGCGGCGCCTGTAGTCCCAGCTACTTGGGAGGCTGAGGCAGGAGAATGGCATGAACCCGGGAGGCGGAGCTTGCAGTGAGCTGAGATCCGGCCACTGCACTCCAGCCTGGGCGACAGAGCCAGACTCCGTCTCAAAAAAAAAAAAAAAAAAAAAAAAAAGAAAGAAGAATACTACATAAGTTATGTCATGTACCTATTATCACATACATTAGGTTGTCCTGCGACTGGGGATACTAAGTTTGAACCCCTGCTTAATGTAGAGTTGGCCAGGCCTCTCCTCTGACACATTTGTAACCTACAGTTAACAGGCAGGGTGATATTTTGAATGTTTCTTGTTCTTAAAAGACAGGCCAAAACAAAGATATGAGCAAGTTTATCTAGAAAGTCTCTTTCATGAAATATATCTTTACACACGGAGTCACGACTTTATGTGGGATTTAGCTTTTAAAGTCAACAAATCAGGCAAAAATCACATAATGACAAAATTATACACTGAAAAAGCTCTTAAGGAGGGACCACAATAGAGTCTGGAATCTGCTCTCAGTAAGTTCCAAACAGCTCGTTTTTTGTTTTATTATACTATGCTTTTCAGAGATCAATTTTTCAGTGTTTCTCTAGTAAAATATCAAATAAAATAGCTGGCCTACGTTTAAGCACCTCGACGCATTTAAAAATATACCTTAAAACACCAGGATCACACTGTGGGCAGGCACAAGGGAGCTGGGAACCACGCAGTCACACCCCACAGGTTACACTATCAGCTTTCTTCACGTGGATCACCTGAGGTCAGGAGTTTGCGACCAGCTTGACCAAAATGGTGAAACCCCATCTCTACTAAAAATACAAAAATAAGCTAGGTGTGGTGGCAGAAGCTTATAATCCCAGCTTCTCCAGAGGCTGAGGCAGGAGAATCACTTGAACCTGGGAGGCAGAGGTTGCAGTGAGCCGAGATCACGCCACTGCACTCCAGCCTGGACAACAAGAGTGAAACTCCGTCTCAAAAAAAAAAAAAAAAAAAAAAACGCAAAGAAAAGAAGAGAAATGAGTGTGCGTGGCTGAATAACATGGCCCCAAAACAAAGACCTCAGGACGTTACCAGGTCCGACGGGCCGACTTCTGCTTTGACCTAGACTTGCTAATTATTAGCTAAGGTAATAAAGTCTGTAGTCCCCAGTTTAAAACCATATCCATTCACTCTAACTCATCTCCCTACTCAAAAGGGCAGAAGCAGGCAAAAGACTCCAAGAAACATAATTAAAATATTTCAAGACTACAAAAAAAATCAATAACGTAATAAGAAACAGGCAAAGAACATGAACAGGCAATCCATAGAAAAGGAAATACAACTGCCCTTAAATATGTAAGATGCTAAACACCTTTGCTGGGTACAGTGGTTCACACCTGTAATCCCAGCACTTTGGGAGGCTGAGGCAGGAGAATCACTTTAACCTGGGAGGAAGAAGTTGCAGTGAGCCGAGATAGCACCACTGCACTCAGCTTTGTCTGCCTCAGCCTCCCAAAGTGCTGGGATTACAGGTGTGAGCCTCCGCACCCAGGCAATCAACCGTTTCTGTTATTGGCAAGGCTTTCGGTCAACAGTAGGCTGTAAGTAAAGTTTTGGGGGAGTCAAAAGTTACATGTGGATTTTTTTACTGAGCAAAGAATCAGCACCCCGATCCTCATGCTGTTCAAGGGTCAAATGCGTAAGTAAAGAGGTGAGAAATAAAACTACACTAAGGGCCAGGTGCGGTGGCTCATGCCTGTAATCCCAGCACTGTGGGAGGCCAAGGCGGGTGGATCACGAGGTCGGGAGATCGAGACCATCCTGGCTAACACGGCGAAACCCCGTCTCTACTAAAAATACAAAAAAATTAGCCGGGCGTGGTGGCGGGCGCCTGTAGTCCCAGCTACTCTGGAGGCTGAGGCAGGAGAATGGCGTGAACCCGGGAGGCAGAGCTTGCAGTGAGCCGAGATCATGCCACTGCACTCCAGCCTGGGTGACAGAGCGAGACTCCATCTCAAAAAAAAAAAAAAAACTACACTGAGAACACAAGCTTGCACCAATGCAACAGGCAAAAGTTAAAAGTCTGACAACATTGTGCTGGTAAAGATATGGGGAAACAGGCACTCTCGCACATTGCTAGACGAGTATTCCTTCCAAGGAAGGCAATCTGGCTCTCAAAATTACAAAAATGCATCCCTTTTGGTGTATCTTAGAAAAGACACACAAGAAACATACTATTGGTTTCTTCCAAGCAGGAGCACTAAAGGACTGGAGGAAAGAATTTTGAACTACAGGAGGCCGGGCATGGTGGCTCACAACTGTAATCCCAGCACTCTGGGAGGCTGAGGCAGGGAGATCATGAGGTTATGAGTTTGAAGCCGGCCTGCCCAATATGGTGAAACCCCGTCTCTAGTAAAAATACAAAAAGTAGCCAGGCGTGGTGGTGCACGCCTGTAGTCCCAGCTACTCAGGAAGCTGAGGCAGAAGAATTGCTTGAACCCAGGAGGCGGAGGTTGCAGTGAGCCGAGATCACGCCATGGCATTCCAGCCTGGGCAACAGAGCGAGACTCCATCTCAAAACAAACAAACAAACAAACAAAAAGTTAGCTGGGTAAGGTGGCACACACCTGTAATCCCAGCTACTTGGGAGGCTGAGACAGGAGAATCGCTTTAACCTGGGAGGAAGAAGTTGCAGTGAGCCGAGATAGCACCACTGCACTCCAGCCTGGGCGACAGAGCAAGACTGTCTCAAAATATAATAACATTAAAAATTAAGATTTTTGAACTACATGAGTATATCATATAAATAACATTTACATTTCAAAAATACTCAAGAAAAATATTCCCAAGAGACACAATTTTGCCTCTGGAGGACCAGGCTGAGGGGCCTGAGCTCAGATACTGAGAGTCACTCTCCCATCTGTGATGGCTGCAGAGCTATGGAACTCGAAGCAACATTCTTTCATTCAGGCCCTATTGAATGAGGGCCCACTATGTTTCAGGCACTGTTCTAGCGGCTAGGGTAGTTAACAGTGACCAAAGCAGGCAAAAATCTCTTATTGTGGATACATTTTATTGAAGGAGACAGTCAACAAATGAAATAAATTAATTAAACAGGGACAAGGGCTGAGAAGAAAAATATAAAGAAGGGAGGGAAATAGATGTGAAGTCAATGAGGAAGGTGGCTTTGGATCAGGGGATCAGGAAGAGGGTGGCTTTTGAGAACAGGCCTAAGGAAGTAAGGAAGCGAAAAGCATTTCACTCAGAGGGAACGGTAAGTGCAAAGGCCTGGAGGCAGACACCTGCCCAGTGTATTCACTGAAGAGCAAGGAGGCTGGCACAGAGAGAATGTAGACCAGGAACAGGAGATGAGAAATGCGGGGTGGGGAAGGGTCCCATCCCATGGGACCTTCGGCTTCTACTGTGAAATGGAGCACCCTTGAACAGTTTGAGCAGAGGAGTGACAAGACCCAGATTGCTTTTTTTTTTTTTTTTTTTTTGGGGAGACATGGTCTCGCTCTGCTCTGTTACCCAGGCTGGAGTGTGGTGGCACAATCACAGCCTACTGCAACGTCGAACTCCTGGGCTCAAGCGATCTTCCTGCCTCAGCCTCCAATTTTTAGTAGAGACAGGGGTCTCGCTCTGTTGCTCAGGCTGGTCTCAAACTCCTGGGCTCAGGTGATCCTCCTGCCTTGGCCGTCCAAAGTGCTGATATTACAGGTATGAGCCACCACACCTGACCCCAGTTTACATTTTAACAAGATCACTGGCTGCTGTGTAACCAACAAACTGAAGGAGGGCAAAGCGGAGAAGCAGAGAGACAGGACAGGAGTCTACCGCCTTAACCCAGGGTGGAGACAATGGTGGCCTGGACTAGGCTGCGACCTAGGGGTGGTGAGAAGTGGCTGAATGTTGAGTGACACATTTTGAGGATCGAGTCAACCAGACATGCTGATGGGCTGATATAGACAATGAGGAAGAAAAACCAGGACCTCAGCTATAGACAGGCTAAATTCTAGATGTTTAGTAAATATTCAAGCGAAGGTAACTGGCTACTGGTTATAAATCAGGAGTTCAGAGGAAAAGCCCAGAGGAGTGATCTTCTGTTGGTGGCATTTAAAGCCATGAGGTTGGATGAGGCACCTAGGGAGTGAGTGTAGGTAGCAATGAGGGCCAGGGCATGAAGAGATCACCATTTTATTTTATTGTTTTCATTTTATTTTGTTTTTGGGATAGGGTCTCACCCTGTCACCCAGGCTGGAGTGCAGTGGTGCGATCACAGCTCACTGCAGACTTGAACTCCCAGGCTCAAGCAATTCTCCTTCCACTTCAGCCTCCTTAGTAGCTGGGACCAGCTAGCGTGAACCACCATGCCTGGCTAATTATTTTATGTTCTGTAGAGAGGGCTTCCCTATGTTTCCCAGGCTGGTCTTGAACTTCTGGGCTTAAGGGATCCTCCTGTCTCAGCCTCCCAAATTGCTGAATTACAGGCATGAGCCACTGCACCTGGCCTGAAATCACCATTTTAGATAATTTTAGCCAAAAGTTCCTTATTTTCCTGCTCCTTTATTTTCTTTCTTCTTCAAGAATTACAGCTACAAGACGATAATGACATGAGAATAAATAATTAACACCCGTAAGCTATTTCACAAAATTTGGCTCCCCAGACCAAGGCGTGGTTAGATTCCCCCTCTTCCCAGGCCGTAGACAAGATAAAGACGTTATACAGTGCCACTCACCTTTCAAAGTGAGCTGAGACTTCTCAAAAGGCAGGGCCACTCCTGCCCGGCTAGAGCTGGCAGATGCCATATCATCACCGTGAAGCTGTAAGACAAACAGAAAGAGAAGTGAGAGAATATCTGATAAGAAGACAGAGGAGTTGAACTCAATTTCAATATTTAAGCTTAAAGAGACAGAGGCACAAAAACAGAAACGTCCAAGCAACTGCAACCAGAGTATAGTTTGTCTAATAATGACTTAATGAACCTGGACCGGTCTTAGGATAGACTAGAAAGGACACAGGACTGTTACAAAAAAGTCTAGAGGAGGCAGAGTCTAATAAGACATCTCCGCCAGGCATGGTGGCTCACGCCTGTAATTCCAGCACTTTGGGAGGCCGAGATGGGCGGATCACCTGAGGTCAGGAGCTCGTGACCAGCCTGACCAACATGGCGAAACCCCGTCTCTACTAAAAAATACAAAGTTACCCAGGCGTGGTGGCACATGCCTGTAATCTCAGCAACTCCTGAGGCTGAGGCAGGAGAATCGCTTGAGCCCAGGAGGCGAAGGTTGCAGTGAGCCAAGATCGGCCATTGCACTCCAGCCTGGGCAACAAAAGCGAAACTCCATTTCAAAAAAAAAAAAAAAAGATTGGGCGCAGTTCACGCCTGTAATCCCAGCACTTTGAGAGGCGGGTAGATTATGAGGTCAGGAGTTCAAGACCAGCCTGGCCAAAATGGTGAAATCCCATCTCTACTAAAAATACAAAAAAATTAGCCAGGCATGGTGGCAGGCACCTGTAATCCCAGCTACTCAGGAGGCTGAGGCAAAGAATTGCTTGAACCCGGAAGGTGGAGCTTGCAGTAATCCGAGGTCGTGCCATTGCACTCTAGCCTGGACGACAGAGCAAGACGCTGTCTCAAAAAAGGAAGAAGAAAAAAAAAAAAGACATCACAGATTCACAGCAGAAAGACAGCTAATCTAGTGTGTTACCTATGGAGCAAGTTGGCTGCAAACACCTCAAGGAGGGTCTCTGGCCAAATGAGTAGAATCTGATAGTAATCCTTGCTAAAAGTATAATGCAAAAAGAAAAAAAAAAGGAAAGGGAAAAAGAAGACAACTAATATAATTCTTTAAATGGGTAGGCTGGGTGCAGTGGCTCACTTTGGGAGGCCAAGGCAGGTGGATCATCTGAGGTCAGGAGTTTGAGACCAGCCTGGCCATAATGATGAAACCCCATCTACACTAAAAAACAAAAAATTTGTCAGGGGTGGTAGTGGATGCCTTAATTCCAGCTACTCAAGAGGCTGAGGCAGGAGAATTGCTTGAACTCGGGAAGTGGAGGTTGCAGTGAGCCGAGATTATGTCATTGCACTCCAGCCTGGGTAACAGAGCAAGACTCAGTCTCAAAAAAACAAAACAAAAAGGTGTGCAGCATCATTAGCCATGAGGTGTCCCTGTCATTCTGTGTTGGCTAGAAGCAAGTCTATCTTGTACTTTGAATGGATCTTTTACTTGTATGTGATTTTGGAACATCATCATTTGACATTTGAAAAATATTGGTTCATTGAGTTATGCAGATTTTCCAAATGTTGACACATTTCATTATGCAATATCCAAAAATCACATTTGTGAATGTCACCACTGATCTCATCAGATAAGTCTTTAAGCACTGGGAAGCCATTGAGCTCTTGGTAGTAGATATAAGCATTCCAAAAGTCTGACTTTCACTTAAAAACTTTCACTTAAAAACTCGTATCTGCTCCCCCTTCCTCCCTCCTTCTATCATCTCTGCTACCTTGTCTTTTCTCTTTTTTTTTTTTTTCCTTTTTTTTCTTGAGACAGAGTCTCACTCCGTCACCCAAGCTAGAGTGGTACAGTAGCACGATCTTGGCTCACTGCAATCTCCACCACCCAAGTTGAAGTGATTCTCGTGCCTCAGCCTTCTGAGTAGCTGGAATTAGAGGCACCAGCACCACTTGGCTAATTTTTGTATTTTTAGTAGAGATGGGGTTTCACCATGTTGGCCAAGCTGGTCTCGAACTCCTGACCTCAAGTGATCTGCCCGCCTCAACCTCCCAAAGTGCTGGGATTACCAGTGTGAGCCACTGCACTCGACCACTCTTTCTTTAAAAAAAAAAAAAAAAAAACTCAAATTTTATCATTGGTAGCAAATACTGTGTTGTTTTCCTTGAAGTGTCGGGCTCACTTCATTCGTTTTCAAGAAAAGGCTTGCCAAATACCCAAATCTAGTAACACGTTTGTCTGTTAGACGTTTAAGTAAAAATGGTACTTCACCCAAAAAGCAATTAATTCAGCTCTCAATTCAAACAACCGTGCTTTTTCCCAACACACCATTATACTTCAACAGGAGGCAGAAGAGCTTTTGGAGTACTGCCCATTTTAGCACACAGAATATTTTTTTTTCTAGCATTTTCATTTAACTTTTTTTTTATTACACTTTACGTTCTAGGGTACACGTGCACAACGTGCAGGTTACATATGTATACATGTGCCACTTTGGTGTGCTGCACCCATTAACTCATCATTTACATTAGGTATATCTCCTAATGCTATCCCTCCCCGCTCCCCTCACCCCACAACAGGCCCTGGTGTGTGATGTTCCCCTTCCTGTGTCCAAGTGATCTCATTGTTCAATTCCCACCCATGAGTGAGAACATGCGGTTTGGTTTTCTGTTCTTGCGATAGTTTGCTGAGAATGATTGTTTCTAGCTGCATCCATGTCCCTACAAAGGACATGAATTCATCCTTCTTTATGGCTGCATAGTATTCCACGGTGTATATGTGCCATCTTTTCTTAATCCAGTCTGTCATTGATGGACATTTGGGTTGGTTCCAAGTCTTTGGTATTGTGAATAGTGTTGCAATAAACATACGTGCCAGCACACAGAATATTAAAAAGACATGCTCAGGAGTCAAGACTTCATAAAATTAATGAATTTTACCACTTCATCAAGGACATTCTCAGGTGAACCTGGCTTTTTCTTTTCTTTATACTGAGAGTATGTATGGTGAAGAATACCATGACCACAGCAATAGCCCAATTGGTGCTAGCACCCATTGCTTTACTCACCTTTGCTTCTGGACCACTGGTGCAAATGGGATCACAGTGAAAAGGCAAAGTGTTACTGTCATTATGAAAATAGTTTCAGCCAGGCACGGTAGCTCACACCTGTATTCCCAGCGCTTTGGGAGGCCAAGGTGGGTGGATCACCTGAGGTCAAGAGTTCGAGACCAGCCTGACCAATATGCTGAAACCCCGTCTCTACTAAAAATACAAAAATTAGCCGGGCATGGTGGTGGGTGCCTGTAATCTCAGCTACTTGGGAGGCTGAGGCAGGAGAATTGCTGGAACCTGGGAGGCAGTTGCAGTGCACCGAGATCATGCCACTGCACTCCAGCCCGGGCGACAACAGCAAGACTCCGTTTCCAAAAAAAAACAGAAAGAAAATAGTTTCAACCTTGCAAAACCCTCAAAGAGTCTGGGAGGCCTCCCAATGTCGGAGGACCACACTTGAGAACTGACGCTGTTAAATTATTGTGCCTTTGTGTCTTATGTTTTTTAGAGACGGTATCTCACTCCGTCGCCCATGCTGGGAGTGAAGTGGCGTGAACATGCTCAGTGCAGCCTTAAACTCCTAGACTCGAGCAATCCTCTCACCGTGGCCTCCCAAGTAGCTGGGACTATAGATGTGCCACCACAACTCTACTATTTTGTTGTTGTTGTTGTTGTTATAGACAGGGTCTTACTACGTTGCCCAGACTAGTCTCAACTCCTAGCTTCAAGCTATCCTTCTGCCACAGCCTCCCAAAGTTCTGGGATTACAAGCATGAGCCACCGAGCCTGGCCAAAATTCCTGTTCTATTCAACATCATTAATACCTTCCGTCATTCTATTTGTATATGACCTCTCTCCCTGACTTCCCATTTTCTTTTTTGTTCTTCAGTATTATTATTATTATTACTATTTAGAAACAGGGTCTGGCTGTATTGCCCAGGCTAGAGTACAGTGGCTACTCACAGGCACAGTCATGGCTCACTGCAGCCTCGAACTTCTGCACTCAAAGGATCCCCTGCCTCAGCCTCCTGAATAGCTAAAATACAGGTTCAGACCACCAAGCCCAGTGCCTGACTTATCTTAATGAGTTGTTCAGCTTTAAAACATGGTTATTAACTCACCATATTACTCTAAGAATGAAAGCCCGTGGCTGGGAGCGGTGGCTCACACCTGTAAACCCAGCACTTTGGGAGGCCGACACAGGCAGATCACTTGAGGTTGAGTTGGAGACCAACCCGGCCAACATGATGAAACCCCATCTCTACTAAAAATACAAGAATTAGCTGGGCGTAGTGGCACACGCCTGTAATCCCAGCTATTCGGAGGCTGAGGCAGGAGAATTGCTTGAACCTGGGAAGCAGAGGTTGCAATGAGCTGAGATCATGCCACTGTACCCCAGCCTCGGGGAGAGAGTGAAACTCTGTCTCAAAAAAAAAAAAATGGACAAAAGCCCCTTATATGAGAATTAAATGTAGCTACAGGAGAGGCACAGTGGCTCACATCTGTAATCCCAGCACGCTGGGAGGCTGAGGCAAGAGGATCATGTGAGCCCAGGAATTCAAGACCAGCCTGGACAATACAGTGAGACCTTGGCTCTGTTTTATAATTTAAATTTAAAGTTAAATAAATGTAGCTACAGCTAAGTGACAATGATTTTGACATTTTCCATAGCTAAAGTCAAACAATTTCATGCTTCAAAATGTTTATCAAACTCGAACAGAATTTGTCTTACTTATGTGATACATCCAGTTTCCAAAAAGATTTAAAGTGGCTAGTTTTTCTAGACTAGTCTGTAATAAGCATTTGACTTCCAGTGGAAACCTCTGAAATGGTACTTAGCAAATGGAATACAATATCAAACTCTTCTTATCAAGAGCTCCAGAGAGACCTCCAGGTTACCAAATCCCACAGCGAATCTCCCTGTCCTCTTACATGACTGACCTATTGGCAGCATCTGACACAACTATCACCCTTTCTTCCTTTAACTGCTTTTCCTTCAGCTCTCAGGAAACCAGTCCTGCCTCAT